GCCATTTCTGGCTTTGCCAGATAAAACTAGAAATGAGATGTAGATTTTTTTAACAGTATTATTTATGACTTTAAATAGGTAGGTAGCATAATTAGGGATTGAAAGTGCTTTCAGTTGATCTTTGTAGCCACAGTATTTCTTTACATTATGCTTGCAATGCTATGCTCTTATTCTGTCCATTCAGCGATAGCTACATTCATGATCTGACCAAGTTCCAGACTCTAGCAATCAGCTGCTATCTGCAATTAGTGCAAGTTGTTCACCTAAAATTTTCCCGTTTGGAAACCGGTATAACATTAGATTAATGTGTAAGTTTCTGCTTCTGTTGTGCAGTGTAGTTTCAGTCATTAGGTGATCCCTAACTGGAGAATACACCCTTATTATACATGTGACAAACTGCTTCAGTAAAAATCCCCTTCAAGAACAAGATAGTTCAAAATAGTAGTGCTACAGTTACGTCAGTCAATTTTTAAAGTTTTACAAAGCCAGGATAATATTAGAGGGGATATTATACGGTAAGAACAGCCAATTCTTGTTCACATCCTACAACAGTCATGGGAGAGTATGCTCTCATTAATACACTTAATGGGCCCCTCTGTCTTGCTTTTACATTCAGAAATAGGTTCAGTAATGTGGTTTGAACCCAAGTGCAGCTCCTGGGCTGTTCCTGTATGTCATGCCTCCGCCTTAAATACTGGCACAGGTTCTGCACTAGTTCTTGATGCTACTCCGCCATGAATCAATCACGGACCATTTTCTTCTGTGAATGCCCATAGCAGCCCAACAAACAGCAAAGAGACTGGCATGAGCCTCAAGAAGGTTGATCACGTATTTCCAGGTATACTTGGTAACACTGACCAATTCAGCATTTTTAATACAAAAACAGTTAAATATTTAGCACAAGTTCCCAGTCCCTGCTGTGTCCTGCCTTGGGATAAAGTAAGAGCTTACTACATGCTCTGCTAAAGTGCCTTTTTCATACTTTTTTTTTAATCTGTATAATACATTGCTAAGGGGATTGAGAAAGGAGTGTAATGGGGATTGGTATACCTCACTTAAAAACATGCTTTGTTATTACCTTTATGGCATCGTCACCCTATGGGGATGAGTTACAGGGTGATGAATACACCAGACTTCCAGGTGCAGAAAAATTACTAAACAGGTGAGCTACAGCCATTGACTTCTCTCTAACAGGCTGCAGGTATGTTATGGTATCATTGAAACAAGTAGCATATATTGAAGGCTTACCACTGCTAAAAATCACTATTACAAATCAGCATTAAGTCACCGAAGTGAAGGGCTTAAGTTTTGCACTGCACCAAACTAGTGCGTGTAGAGCTAGAACGAGTTCTAGGAGGGTTCAGATTTGGTCCTGAAAGGGCTGTGGTTTGCTCTTTGTAACTGCTCACGTAAATGATTGATTTAGTAGGAAACAACAGTCACATCATAGTCCTCTTTCCTTAGCCCACCAAAAAGAGATTCTTGATTCCTGTTGCCCTGTGACTGTCATGCTCATACAGAGTCTGCTATCTGTGACAAAATGTTACAGTAAATGTGGATGTTAACTGAAACTATTTCACAGCTCTGATCTGTCTTGTTTGTACTAAACAGACAGCATAATACAACTCTCACGTGAAGATTTGTCATGGAGTAAGTTCAGACAGCCGCTAATTTACTCTCTTAAGTGTGTGTTGGGGAAAAATCACTCTAGAGTCACATACAGTATATGAACCACTCTTGATAATGAAGCTGCACTGAGGTGTTAACTTAAACTTTATTACTATTGACATGTTGCATCCCTCTTTGTAGTATATTTGTATTTCAGTAAGGAGTTGTTGTATTTTCCCCATGGTTAAACCACCACTTTGTGCTTATCCTTCCCTCCTGAATTATAGTTGGTCCTTCATTCCAAGCACTTTATGCTATCTGTAATGGGATCTATTTTTGCACTGGAATATCTGTTAACTTTGCAAAAATCTAGAGAGATTTCACAACTGAAATTTCTAAGTTAAATCCTTAAATGGACATTTTCATTAAAAGCAAAAAAAAGTATATATATATTTGTATTTGCTAATAACTGTTATGTGAAGTATTAAAAGGCACTCTAATTGCCTTGTATTAAGTAAAAAATAAAGCTGTTATGGCACCATTGGTCTTCAAAGTGTCATTTTTGCATATGTTCTTTTGAGGAGTGCTGTTAGCAGCTCTTCCTTTGCCCGGTTTTGTTTTGTTGTGCACTTCGATGCATAATGTACAAGCAAGTTCCAGTATCTCTACAAATTGGCGTGGGGCACATACTATTTTCAGGTAAGTGAGGTGGCGCAAGATTTGAAAGGCAAGTGCTACTTTAAGCTTCTAAATTTAGTAAATAAAAAGGTTTCCAGCAAATCCTGAGGAAAGTGATTGGTGTAACTGTCAAATCCAGCTGCAGAGCATAACAAACTTACCGGGATGTTTAAATCCCAAGTCAGGTATCTGCCTCTGAATATTTCCATTACAGAGGCGTGGCAAGTTGCAACTACTGACAATTGTTCTTCCTCTTTGCTAAATCTACCCTATACCTGTTTTCAGAGGCAAAGCAAAATGTTATGTTTGAGTACAAAGAATCTGAAATACCCTAAACTTAGCTAATCCTTAGCTAATATCAAATTAAAGGAAGATCACTCAAGTTAATACTAGGTTGATTTTGAACAGCAGTCTACAAATGAGAGCAGAATAATGGTCCAATGCTCAAAGGAAAACTGATTTTAAAATTTTGCCTTCTACTGCCTGTAGTCCCACTGTCAACCAGTTAAGTTCCAGAATCCAACCAACTCTTGAAGTTACACTCATCAGGAACATTCATCCTGACATAAAGCCAATTAAAATTTTCCGGGTTTTCTGTTTTAATCTAGTGTCCAGCTTGTGCTTTGGGTAATGTGCTTGATTTATCAACCTCTTGTCAAAAAACAACAAACTTTGGAATAAAGCACACCTCTAACATCCTGAGTAGTATTTACTCTCAAGGCTGGTGACAAGGGAGATAGTTCTACTAAAAAAAAATATACTGTTTTTAGTATCTCTTATTTTTTTTATTCCAGTAAACAATAAAACAACTTAATCTTTGCATTCATGGGGAAAAAAAGTCCTATTATCGTTTTTCAGCCCATGTTTTTGTTATTTAAAAAAAATCCTCCTTTGAGTTAACTGCCATAAGGCAACATTCTGAATCAACTTGGTAGTGATGGTTTATCAGCCATTTATACCTTAAATAGTTGATTTGTAAAATATAAGACAGTGGTCTTTGAAGTAGTGCTTGTTCCACCCTGAGAATGCTGAAGATGGCTCTGTTGGAGGGAGAAGAGTATGAAGATTTGGGTATAGGAGCTGGGACCTGTTATACTCCCTTACTACAGCATCTCAATCCCATTGGATCCAGCACCTTGGACATAAGCATAATTGCCTACAGCTGGTTTTTCAGTGCTTTCCATGAGATCTTAATGCACTTTACAGAAGCAATAATCATCACTAGGCAGACTGCACAAAGATACTTCAGTAGAGATGCGAAATCAGTTGCTCACTGGAAGTCAGTGATTAACCTGTGGAAAAGCCTCCCAGGTGCTCTGCCAGTTAGTGACCTTTAAATTGCAGAAGAGGGTGCCCCGCACCACTGTACACAAACCCCAAGTTTGACTTCTCAGCCCATGTGCTCTCTGCCCTGCTGCTATTCACTCTAGCTTACTGGCTCTAAAGCAACTATTGTCAAGACTGTTGTTGATCAAAATGCAGGACCTGCCCAATGCGGTACTTGGAGAATGGCGCTTATCCTTTAACAGTTTAAAAAGAGTAAGCGCTTGAGCTGTAAACCCTAAAAATGCATGCTTTACCCAAATTTATTTGGCTCTTAACAGTCTGGCAAAAAGTACTTCAAAGAATGTAAGCATGTGTGGATCAGCTGAGTTTGACTACACAGTTGAACAAGAAGGCCTAATCCAATTTCAGCACCCTAAACAAATACTAAAATACCTAAGGCAAAGCATTATGTGTGTAATCCACAATTCTGAGGAAGTGTTTACTGAACAAAAAAGGAAAGGGCTGAAGTGAACTGTAACAAGATAGTGAATAAATGCTCTTCTCGTGGCAGAGTTTATTGGCACCTACTTACTGACCAGCTTCACTCCAGCACCTCCTAGGGGCAATTCTTAAACCAGTATGCAATAGCCATGATGTGATAATTACAAGAGTCACCGAAGTATGTTGTGAAAGTGATACCAGCCCTCAGCTGTAACATTGGAAAAGAGCACTTACAAGGTGTGATAAGTGATCTAGCTATGCATAAAAGCATTAAAAACTGAGTGGCTAAAATAAAAGATAGGTGAAGCGTGGTTTGTCCTGGTTTGGCTGGGATAGAGTTAATTTTCTTCCCAGTAGCTGGTACAGTGCTGTGTTTTGGATTTAGGATGAGAACAAAGTTGATAAGGCACCGATGTTTTAGTTGTTGCTAAGCAGTGCTTACACTAGTCAAGGACTTCTCAGCTTCCCGTGCTCTACCAACTGAGAAGGCTGGTAGTGCCCAAGAAGCTGGGAGGGGGCACAGCCAGGACAGCTGACCCCAACTGGCCAGAGGGATATTCCATACCAGGTGATGTCATGCTCAGTATGGGGGGAGTTGGCTGGGGGGCGGTGACCACTGCTCAGGAACTGGCTGGGCATCGGTTGGCGAGTGGTGAGCAATTGCATTGTGCATCGCTTGCTTTGTATATTCTTTTATCATGATTATTATTTTCCCTTCCTTTTCTGTCCTATTAAACTGTCTTTATCTCAACCCATGAATTTTACTTTCCATCACCCCCTGCCCCCTGCTCCAATTCTCTCCCCCATCCCACTGGGGAAGGGGGAGTGAGCAAACAGCTGTGTGGTGTTTAGCTGCCTGCCGGGTTAAACCACAACAGGTTCATGTCATAAGTGATATGGCTCGAGTTCTTTTTCCTGGGGATGTAAAACCATAAACTTCTGTTTAGCAATTGTTATCAGGGTGCAAAATTTTACTGATTTACATTGCTAGCAATCAGCATTTTGCATCTATTTATTGTACACTAAGAACAGTTGGCTCAGTTCATAAGGGTATGACGATCCATATGATGGCACTTGCTGACAGCGCTTCCATCTTGTCCTTTCTGCCATCAGTTACATCATTTAGAAGAAGGTTACTTCAGCGGCGAGCATTGCAGAGGGAGCAGGAGCATGTTTTGCTGGGACTCCAAGAATCTGACGCTGTCCCGCACTGAAATTAAATGCATATTTAATTAAGACAGTAATCCAATGAGAAATAATACTTTTCTCAGTATGCATGCAGGTAACACTAGTGAGTTCTCTGGATTCATCATCTCTTACCAGCTGCTACCACTCTGGCATCTTCATGGGCACTGTGCCTTCCCGCTGCCCGATGATCTGGGCTCTCGTTCCACCAGATCACATGGACTGAGAAAGTACAAATAAAGTCAGGTGAGTACTGTTATGCTGCAATGCAACATGTACTGTGAGTTCTAGCAGTCTGTCTTCACCTGTTAGATGCCTTGCAGTTAGCAGAAACAATTCTCCAGGCAAGTAAGTGGTGGGATGATCCTTTGCTGAGCCTTTAAAAGGTTTGACTCTTTCACATCAGATCTGAGTGTCTTTTAAGACAGCAGCACCTGGCTTAAGCCTATAACCCAATACACAAAGCTGGGCTCAAGGACTGTTTACAGGACTTTGGTGATCCACACCAACATTTTCATCAAGCTGGCCAATCCTGATGCAGGACAAGGGCTTGCCCCTCTCCCTCCGCCCCTTCCCATGCCAAAGTCTGTATCAGAAATAGAGTAGTACCTGTGTTAAGTAATCCATACTCTGTGTGGAAAACACCAATCAGCTTGGTGTAGCCTGTGTTGATGTGAGCATTGACTGCAGCGCGAAACGCTTCGCCCCACAACGCTGGCCCACCAGGCTTCATCTGGAAAGTAACCCATTCATATACTCCTGGAAGAAAAGACAAAGATGACCTCAAGGAAGGAAATACAAATTAATATGGCGGTTCTCAAACAGTGAGTCACGGCCACGATGTATTTATTGTGAAACCAGTACTGCAATTCCCTGCCGTTTGGGGTCAGCAGGACATGAAACTGCCCCTTCATCCCAGTGTGCACAACATCTCACAGCATCCAGGGGCTCACAAGAGCACACGCAAGCAGCTCACTAACTGGAGCTAGTTCAAGTGCAAATGTAAGTACTGGGACCCTGAGGAACAGAAGGCTTCACACAAAGCCCAACTTACTTAGCAATTTTTCAGTGTTGCCTGGAAATCTGGGGAGATTCAGACTACTTTGCAGAAATCACAACTCATACATGTTTGTGGGATTTGGATGGCTGACCGAACAATGCAAGGTGGTCTTTTCTAAGACTGGTGATGTTTTCTGGCATCAAAGCGGTTTATGACTTTATAAACCCCTTTCACTCCTGGCAACTGGTCACAGCAAGATCTGAAGGCATAACCAATAGACCAGGACTAGCTTAGCATCTCTGCTCTGCCAAACAATATCTCCCTTTTTTGTAGACAAATGGCATGATTTGCTGAAAAACTCCAGTCCTGCTACAAGACGCATTATCCATCTCCTTTCCATTCAGGTAGTTACTTTAGATCACAATTGCTGACACTTTAAAAGAAAGCCAGACACTTGCCATATGGCAATGTGTGTCTGGTCTCATTCTCCAGCAATGGGCTGGAGATAAACTACAATGGGAACAAAGTGTTTGAAAAGTCAGCTCTCCAGTTTTAAGAGAAAAACTGGACTGCTTTCAAATTCAGTTGTAACAGCATAAAATTCAGAATCACAGGGAAATAAAGAACAAAGATTACTGTACGTATGCACATGCTGAGGGCTCAAGCAAGGCCTGTTTGACATCACTCCATGCAACAAAGTCTGCAAATGTTCATAAATTGGGGAACAGTCAATACTATTAATGCCACATTTGCTACAGAGAGAGTTAAAATACATGGGGACAGGATGCCTACACCTAATCTATGATTGTTACAAAGTACGCTTGACTTGCATGTAACTTTAAAAAGTAGGAATTATTTTTGTTTTTTCTTAAAACTATTATGTGAAAGAAGCAGTAACATTAATGCAAATTGATAAAAGAGAAAAACCTTGTGAAAGAGAACAATCATTGCCTTTAGTGTCTCCAGGAAATGCCCTCTCACTGACAGGTGGACAAAGCAAGTCCGGGATGACTGCTCTGACCACTGCTACAGCTTCCCATGTTCATTTAAGCAATTCACACACCTCTTCACAACCTTAACGATCAGGGCTCTAGTCAGTTACTGACGTTAGTGTAAAATCCTTCTTAAAAACTTTGTCCCTCATCTGCATTATGTCACCTTTTTCACATGGGTGTATGTACTTGCACTTGTTACATAAAGGGTTATAAAACCATGTAATACCTGGTTTAAACTTTAAGCCATTTTTTGTTAGTCCATCAGCATCAGTAACTTTAATCAGCAAAAGAGAAGATAAGCTCACCCCCTTCTTTTGGAGGCTTCCCAAGTTGACACCAGGGTACCAGGTAAGCAACCTCATTGTGCTGCTTTTCTATCAAGGGGAGAGCTGGGGAGATGAATTTTCCCTGCCAGTCTTTGTCATTGGCTAGTGCATGCCTGACTGCTGTTCTGTGAGCAAAATTATCTGTAAGAAAGGAAGAAGAAAAAAAGAAAAAAAAAAAACAACCTATGAAAAAATGCACTTAATGTCACATCAGACTCAATCAAAATGTATAATTACAAGGAGGCAAGCCGCATTTACATAAGTTTGAAATTGATATTTTTAAACAGTGTATTAGCTTGAAGCATAAATTTAAATTCTGCAAAAATCTTTGCTTTAGCTCTCAGATTTAAATGGTTTCAAGCCAAAAAAAATTTTCCAAGAAAGTTTATTAAAAAGTTAAAATACATTAAGCGATGTTACTGTTAAGAAAGATTCATACATGGCATCTGCAGGGACTACTGAATGTGGCAACAGTTACCAAGGATAAGGAGATTCGGAGAAAGCACAGTGGATAAGGAAGTGAAGTGGAAAAGAAAATTCAAAGGAATATTAGCCTACCAAGGGAAAATTAAGAAAAACATGAGTTTTGGCTTATATAAAATTACATTAAAATTACAAGTGTAGAAGTAATGGCTTTTTATTCAGCTACATAAAAAGTTATTAAATGCCCAAAATCTAAACCTTTTCTTCTTCTTTTTTTTTAATTAAAAACAAATCCACTGAATTAAGAGTGTCTGAATTTCAAGTGGTTAGGCTGCAGTGGCATCTTAAGCAGTATGTTATGCAGACTGCTTTCAATAACACAAGAGAAAAATCCAGCATCTGAGAATGGGAAGAACCTTGAGAAATATCAGTATCTTCAGCTAAGAGAAAAATATACCAACTATCTTTAACTACTAAAAAGATATAAGTAGGGGTCTGATGAATCAAGGAGAAAGGATGTTGTACCTTACACATGTGAACACCATTAGGAAACAAATTAAAATGGTAGGTTTTTTTTCCTTAGTTTTCCATTTTAAAAGTTTCTCACAGGTTATTAAAAATGGGTTGGGTTTTTTTTTTAGAGAAAGAACAAGGGTAAAAAGTTCTGAGAAGCAGGACAATTTATTAACCACAGAGGCACATAAACTCATAATATTCCCGTCGACAGATGGCTGGTCCTTTCACCTCTCCAGGACAAAAGGGGCGACCCTGTTCTGAACAGGTACTGTGAACATGCTGGATTTCAACGAGCAGACTGAGGATTTCAGAAACAAAATACTCTGTCTCAGCATACGAATATACCCTGGACTGCAGCAGGTATACAAAGAAATGATAGCTCTGTGCATTCCCACCTCTCCATAACCCAAGTATCAACTTCCCTTGGGCTCCACAAAGAGCACAGACAGCGCACCTAGTTTCTCGCATAATTGTAGCTTTTCTTGGCTCACCAGCACCTTCCAGGTCAGCACCGACTCCAACAACGTCAGAAGTTGATTACACTGCAAGAAGCCTGTTGTACTAAGGCTGAAGCAGCAATCAAACTCTTCGTGCACTTGGGAAGTCAGGGCTAGTAGAGCGGCTTCCCACTTCAGCACAGTCCAGCTGTAGAAGCAGTTTAAGCATGCAGACTGTGTGCTCATTTTTCTCGGGGGAGCGGCTGTTACCCTGAACTAAAATTTGAGAACAATTATACATGCATATAAACATACACGGGCTGCATATAGATTGTCTGCACTTAAATGTATTATCTTATTAAGGAGGTCTCAACCTTTTTTCCACCCATTTTGAAATTCTGAAGACATTTGTTGTTCAGGAATTGGCCCTAAATTAAAAATATTTACCATGAACAAAGCACTCTGCTGCAACTCCTCTATTATACCTGTTCTGAGCAGAGATTGCTGTTTAAGAACAGTTGTAATTCTCTCATCCAAACATGTAAAAATTGTCCTGACAGGCTCTGCAGTGTTCTTTTTCAGTAATCAGCACAAGAACAAATTTTTTTCGGACACTTTGTTACAGTAAGAGCAACAAATAAGAGCCGGGTAAGCATTCTCCTCGCCTTCTTGCCTAGGAGACAGGGAGCACAGAGAGAGCAGAGCAGCGCAAAGGGATGCTGAGCGTACCATACTTCCAAACGTGGACAACTTTATTCATCGCTCCCAGCTCCGCAGACCAGAATCCCACCAGCTCCGAGTGGCTTGTGCGAAGGTGAAAGTACTTGTTGACCGCTTCTATAAACTCCTTCATCTTCGAGGGCTTAATATCATATGTGCGAATTTCGTAGAAAATGCCATTATCTTGTCTGGGCCCTGTAGCAAGGGATGCGAGTACCTGAGAGAAAGTGTTAAGAAAAATAACTAAAACTAATTTGCAAGCCAGAACATTATCTTCTGTCTAATTTCTAGACTTTTTTTAAGTGAGACGCTATAGATGTGATTTTTTTTACCGGGGGCTTGGAAAGGGAGTACTTCGTGAGCTCCACTACAAAAGTATCTTGTGACTTTTTTTTCCTCCCTGCAACTCCTTTTGGCAGTGCAACAGACCGTGACATGTCTTTTATTTGTCGTACTCAATTGTTTAATTATTAGCCCATAACAAAGCAGGGTTTTCCTTTTCTCATACCCCTTCCTCAGGAAGCCAGCAGCAGGATGCAAAAAGTCAAAGCAATAAAAAGAGAGTTGGCTAAAAACATTATTCAAAGGTGAGGCTGCTGATGCCACCAAAGCAGAGGCAACATCAACGTCTGCCTGCGTAGCCCTTACCCAACCAACTCACACTACTGCAGTCTGTTTTCTAATTACAATCTTACATCAGTATTAGCAAATTACGCAGTGTTGGCAAAAGAAATAAAAAGATGCCGATGCTTGGGAAAAGACTGATTCCTTCCAGCACAAGACTGCTGAAGTCTGCATCCTTGCCCCTCACTGGCTGCTGCCCAAAGGCTGGCCAAGAACAGTTTTTCTATTCATACAACATAAAACGCTTCGGAACTCCCAGAATATGCTTACTTTTGCAACTAGAACCTGGAACATGCTATTGACCTCTCAAATAAAACTAGAAAAACTAAGGCCAAACCAAATCTTTGGCCTTAGCCCATATTTGCACAGAGGTGGCTGCAGGATGGATTTTGGACATGACTTACGTCACGAGCATCAGCAGGCAAGCGCACCATACAGCTCTAGCCACAAAATACAGACGGCCAAGACCAAAGGTCTTGCTCCCTAATGACTCGCTGGAGTATCACACGTCTAGATTTGGCTGTCGTGTGTCACAGCTTCTTCTAGCATTTAGTTTCTAAATCCCCACAGGATCCCGAACGAACAGTAATCCTACACTCATGGTGAGCAACCCTGACAGCAGCCTGCTGTCCGTGACCCATCCAATGCCCAATTTCTGCAGGAAAAGAGAAGCCGAGATGTTTTCTGCCACTCAAGCAAGTACCGGAGCGCTGCTGGACCACCTCTCCCGTCCAAAGAACATGTCACACCATTCTGGAGAAGACCCGGGGCCGGCGCTCAGCACGAAGCGCGCCCATGCTTGCACACAGGCCCCTTAAGGAGGATGTCGCGACAACGAC